CACTGTGTCTGTTAGTAACCCACCATTCAGCAATACTGGGCATCAAGTAACACGGGGAACGACTGAAAATAGGACACTTCATCTACGTTTCTTTACATCTAAACATATCAAATTATGTTTAATATTTAATGCTTTTTGAATTAATTTGTACGCTGCCCATACTTTGTATATACTAATTTTTGTGAATATCTTTGCGTGCCATTTACGCTGATTATAATAATATTTTCCTGTATATGAATTTCTTATGCATTACTTATTCTGCATGTGCTGCTTGACCAATGATTGTGTGAACTTTCGCAGAAAAATTCACATTACACAAAATCTTTGCAACGGACATTTAAAAAGGATTGTGGATAACTGGAGTAATGGAAAAGATAAGCACAGTAAAGAAAATAAATTAACGATGGTGAGTATGGGATAGACAAGTGAAAGTACAGAAGAAAGAGGGAAACACTATCGAAAAGAGAAGAAACATGAGAAAAGAGGAACGAAAAACCTTATTTATTCCACTTCTGTTAACTGTTTTAAACGAGTTCATCAACTTCCATTAATAACTGTTGTTGGCGCGGGGAAATACCCACGTGGTCGGGCAAGTGATTCCATATCGTCAATTTGGGAATAGAACACCGTTCGTCATGGTAAAATGCGCTCTCCACTTGGAAAAAATCGATCATACTATTTTGATGTCAACTCTTGTTCAAACTTACTAATCAATTTAAAGCTACTAATTGAAGAATTAAGTTAGTCATTTCGTTTAACCGATAATGAAAACGATCAATTTGTTTTGCTTATACATGTATATCTGATAGAATAAAATGGACACAATCTAGTTTAGTTTAAACATATTTATTGCCAAAATTAGACAAGGGATGAGGCACAAGTTATAGCAACTTATCAACGCCTTCTCCCAATACACATTTTAAATGACATTACAATAATGACAATATATATATATATACAATTGTTGTTACAATTTGAAATCAAAATATCTTGCTGGATCTCGTAGTTTTGCACAGATCTAAAAATGTTTGAGTTAAGGTCCACGGAACTTTGTGAATTGCCAAACAAAAGAATTTCTAAATTTAACGCAACATTCAATTTAATCAAATTTTGAACCAAAATACGTCTTTCGTTTGTAAAAAGGTGACATTCCATAAAATAGTGAAAGATATTCTCGCAAGGATGAAGATGCACTCTCTATAAACTAGTACAAACTTCCGATAGTTTATTGTGTGATTCAATATTTACATATCTTTATAATTAAATTTTCTTTGATGTCATATCAAATACTCAAATCTGATTGTTCGAATAATTCTTTTCATTGTTCTATGAAAGAAGAAAGGACAAGCTTCTCCCCTCGGAAATACTTTCACTATGTCTTATTGGTTAATATTTACATATTTGAATATACAATGTACAATGAAATACCACAATTAATAATATTCTGTTCAATCTCTAATTAATTTGTAGGGTTGAATCGCGAACGGAGAAGCTGACCTCGACTAATGAAGAAACTACAAAAATCCCGTCCATGAACACACATAAAAATTATATAAACAATGCTTAATTAGGTATAACAGTAGACAATGATAAACAATACTTAATTAGGTATAACAGTAGACAATAATAAACGATACTTAATTAAGTATAACAGTAGACAATGAGAAACAATACTTAATTAGGTATAACCGTAGACAATGATAAACGATGCTTAATTAGGTATAACGGTAGACAATGATAAACGATGCTTAATTAGGTATAACAGTGGACAATGATAAACGATACTAAATTAGGTATAACAGTAGACAATGTTAAACGATACTTAATTAGGCATAACAGTAGACAATGATACTAGAGTTTGTCATATACTGAGTACTATATACTGCATATTCACGTGACCCATATCAGACCGGGGGATGGGACATGCATATCACATATCAGACAGGAAAGGCATACAAATGGATATAACGACTTTGAGACAATGATAAACGATACGTAATTAGGTATAACAGTAGACAATGATACTAGCGTGTGTCATATACTGAGTACTATATGCTGCATATTCACGTGACCCATATCAGACCGGCGGATGGGACATGCATATCACATATCAGACAGGAAATGCATACAAATGGATATAACGACTTTGGGAACTCTTCGAGTTCGGAAAACCTCTAGAGTTGCGCACAGACTACAACTGTTCTGTTTACTGTTGACAGAAAGCACGATATTGATTTTATTTTATTTTTTTGTCTGCCTCCCCAAAACACATAATTCAGTGACATTAGGTCTGAAGCGTAATTGAGTTATGACATAATCTATAAGGAATTAGAGCTAATGAAAAAGATGAAATTGAACAATGTTGTCATAACTCTTTCGTACGTTTAAGTATGTGATTTATAGGTGTGGTATATACAGTCGCGAGAGAACACCTCGTTATCGGTGGCTTTCTGTACTTGCTGAGCATGAACCCACATTGGTTAAATTGCATTTCTCCACATACCACTGTAGATGTCCTCACTCCCCCTTGTGTGAACCACCCTGAACGTGTGTCGGCGATGATCCAATTATTATGTCGATTACAAATACTTGGCGACGGACGTCATCTTCCATGTTCATCATAGTCCATGGAAATTTATTTGTACTGAAAACCATTTCTGATATTTTTATGTATCGTAGACTACATGTTAAATTGTTGCCCTGATCGAAAACAGGAATTATGTGTTCCCAAGAGGCACATAGTGGTTTCTAGATTTAATATCTGAACGTAGTTGGAGATTTTTTTTTTCTCCCAAACTCGTGATAGTTTATTATCAAGATTATTTAACTCGTGTTATTTAACTTTTAAATTGTAAAAGCACATACACATTACACACATATGTGCATGCCCTATAATGAACTAAGCTGTTAGTTGGACGTTAAACAAAATAAAACAAAACTCAAACCAAACCCTTCAATGACCTTTAGCTGTTTATACAGTAGAACGTGCAACAAAATAAAATCAAACTACACCAGACGACCATGACACAATAATAAAAACAGCTTGTGAATAGAATTCAGAATTGTACATCTCGATCAATGGCAAAATAAAATGGGAGATCTATGAAAATAACCTTTCCACTAATAAAAGGTTATTATAGATTTGTTATGCATAAATCTCACCTCTGCCCTGATATAAAAAAGTGTATCCTGGTCATAAACCGTCTGTTTTGTCCTTCTAAATGTCTCGTATTTGTTTAATCAATCAATGTAACAGGGAAATCAAACCGTATGTTGCTATAGGCACGTAATCAACGTAATACGATATACCACAGCGACATAACCACTTGTACCTAGATTCGTCAATTCGGTGTATATTAAGGCCATAAAACAGTATTAAGTCTCAATCATGAACAAGAGAATCTGTAGTGTTAAACTGAGAAAAGCGTACGTATGTTTCTTGGGGGTTAACGTTTTCTAAACAGTCAGGGTCACATGACGACGGGCACCTAGGGAGACGCCGCCTTAAAACAGATAGAAGATAGAAAAGAAAGAAGACAGGAAAGATAGGAAACGAAAATGATCCCAAGTGTTACAATGGAGGCGCCAGATCATTTTTTTTTATCTTTTCTATGTTTTCTTCGTAGACTGAAGAAATCCGCAATCTCGTAAGGTGCCCCTTTTATGTTGTACTATTTTCTTTGGATTTCGTTTCATTCGTCCAATAAAGTGCTAAGGTCATATAAGTACGTGTTTACTTGTGTGTGATAAATACTTAGTAAGGGATATCACGGACAATTGGTGTTTTTTTTTGTAAAATAAAATATTCTATAGAAAAAAAAGAAGTTAATATGGCCAAGTAACGGAAAAGTCATATCGGGCTTGACAAAAAAAATATTCAAGGACAATTACAAAATTAAATACACCAAACGAGCCGAATGGCAAAAGTATAAATTTTGTAATACATATGTTAACAGTCAAATGGTCAAATCTTATTATATAATTTCACATACGAAATTATAGACATTTCTTTTTTTTTATTTTTTTTATTAATCAATTGTACAGAGCAATGTTATTGTATCAGGCACCATATAAAATCTGCCTCGAATCTGCTTAATTCGACACATTCGATCAATATGAGGCAAAACATGTTCGTTACAAACGACTATTTGATAAAAGTATGTCGATGCAAAGATATAAACAAATGAGACAATGTTACTGCGCCACATGACCATTTCATTCATTTAAGAACTCTAGGCTAACCAATTAGTTGGTATTGCACAAAGGTAGTTGTTCTCTGCTTAACGTTCAGCATTTAGTGCAATGGCAACAACTGGTTCACTCGTTGTCAGTATAATGTGACTAGGCGGAATGTTGTGCTGGGTGCCGTCGTCATAGTACTTTAGTGAGATAGCACTATAAACAAAGGTCACAGACAATTACATTGTAAGTGATAATATAAGGCGACCTTCTCTGTCCCGTTACAAAACGTCACTCGTATGTATATCATTTTTTGACCAATGAATTGAACAGGGAAGTACAAAGATGTTACCTGGCACACAAAACACATGGAGGCACAGACTTAAATGACGTGAGCTGTTGAAAGAGTGTTAATCCCTATACAACTAAAACCAAAAAACAAAGGTCGCAGATATTTTTATTGTTAGTGATAAGGCAACCTTCCCTGTCCGGTAACAAAACGTCACTCGTATGAGTATCAAGTTTTGACAAATGAATTGCACGAGGAAGTACATTGATCTGTTACTTGGCACACTATCTTCTTCGATGTTTACACATGATCAGCTGTCAATGAGGCTAAAAATAATATTATATTCGATCGATTATACAGCACACATATTTTTTTAAACCTACGACAAAACCACTTGACGATGGTAGCACGAAGAGTGCGCAGCTACTAAATCGGATAACGTGGCATGAAAAATAACCACAAATTATTTAATCATTTCTTGCATTAGTATATGATTTGTTATAGAAAAATAGAAGAAAAAAACCAAACAAACATGGCGGTGTATTTGTTGCTTTGCGTGTGGTCAGTGTTGGCTGTGGAGACTGTGGCGTTTAAGCCGACCACTGGTCAAGGAGATGACCCATCGATGTACACCCATGAAAGTATAACACTGGAAGGGGTCGACAGAGCGGCTGCACATTTTCTTACATCCAATGGCATTCTGAACACCACAACGACAAACCATAACGAAATTGTCAAAGAATATTTCGGATCAGGTAAGTTATTTACAAGTTATAAATCGATACACTGATAGTAATTGCAAAGTTTGTTTTTATATATTGTGAAGAAAACAATATACTGATCCTTCTGCTAACACTTGATTTCTTCAGGCATATACAACAGGATACGGTCTATTTCAATTACGTCTGAAATTTAATGTCTATTGATATAATTTGTGTGGACATAAACCCCCAAAACATAATATCTTATTTTCCGTTAGTTAATAACTGTAATAGAAAAGGGCGATACGTTTTAAAAAAGAACTGAAATAAGATATTATTTAGCGAATGATAACATGTTTTAACAATATTCAAAAATTAAACAATTTTGTTTCCAGCAAGTGGGGAAATATTTGGTTTTGTGTTTTGGCATATATTTCAAATATTCCTATATAAATAATTTCTTTATTGCATTTTCTTTTACACACTGTATCAGTGAATTGGAATCTAACGAGATTCTAAAATACAGAAAAGAAACTGTTTGTACTGAAACGATGAATTAATCTTCTTTGAAATATTTAAGTAAAAACGAGAGGCATGACCTATTTTCTGTCATTTTTTTTTTTATTATACACAGCAACTGACGTATGCATAACTAGAATTGGATGTGCAAACTTCTTGAAAAGTTTCTACTATTAAAACAAATGTTAAATTGAATTGAAACACAGAAATATTGAAAGGATATGAAATGTATGTAATATCAGTGAGATGACAATTACAATAAGGAGATGATCGATTGATCAGTTTTAAAATAATATCTTAGATATAAACATGGAAGCCTGCGTCCATCAGATTATTTTATTAACAATCTAACAAGCAGTTTATCAAATTCATTTATTCTTTGAATAAATTCGCGGTGCCGTTAAATATTTTAAAGAGCTCCAATATCAATATATGTATATATCATTTACCTTATAAGTGATTCTGAAATCCTTACTCTTGTTTTGCAAAATGAATGTTTTTGATGTGCCTTTTTTAATAGGATCTGATAGACATGCGCTTTCATTGTTTTTAAACAAGTGGATCAAATTTTAATAATAAAGTTTAGTTAGAAATAATGCATAATTTCTACACTGTACATTAGTTCGGCAAAATGAGTGGCACCTTTATGTTTAGTTTAAATGTTTGTCAAGTATACGTAGATTAATCACTTAATATTTCTCGCAAATTAACAGAACTCAGTGATAAATCTAGTTGTGAAAGCTAATCCATAATAAGCGGAGATATTTAAAACATTTAGTTTTGTATACAGTATAAACAACACTTTCCACGAGCATGACACACATTCTAGAACATACAATCGACACGAATAGCTCATAAAACGTATCTGTCAGCTTATGATCCTGGCTGTTACGAGGACGTTAAACCCCAAACAAACAAACCTAACCAAAGCCGTGTTTCGCACTGTCTATTTTCCCCTGTGTAAATATTCCGTCAGGTTCTTGTCCTGATAGGATGTTTTATACTGGGTCAGTTTTCTGGGCACTGAAACATCCAAAACTCATCTGCTCCGCGCAAATTATACACATATCATTATATCTATATCTAATCTTTTATAAAACCTTTCAGTTCTATAGCGTAACACTAGGTGTGTAATTAGTATTATTGTTTATATATTTAAAGCAGTAATTAATTATTATTTACATTTCGTAACACTCAGCTGAGAGTAGGGCATTCTTCGCAATGTTTTCCAAATTCAAATTTGGTAGTTTAGACTAATGACGTGTAGATATTCGAAAATGTTTGACAAATTCATTCGATGTACTTCTTCATACACTGCCATCCATGAATAACTCTACACATGCTTTTGTTTGTTTGTTATAAGACTATTTTGTTGTTGTACTGTTTAACGGTCAATCTAGAATGCGAGTCATCTAGGATCGTAAAAAGAGACAAACTCAAAAAATAAACACACCAAACTGAAACTAAATAGGTTAAAATATGTCAAGGTTATAACAAAAATATCATTGTTTGAAATCAGTGCATTAAATCCTAAAGGGTTTGACTGTAAATGGTTGATCACATACATGACAACAGGGCTGGTGTTCCCAACGTAAAATGTAACAATGTGTGATGTAATTATGACTTGCGCAGATGCGAGAGGACTACTTCCCCTCTGCGGTCTGCTGTGCTTGTTACACACGAACCCACTCTAGGTTGATTTGTAAATTACCTAATGTTAATTTATTATTTATTTGGCCAATTCGTTTTAACAGGATTTGTTATGGAAGGTTTATAATCAGAATATGGCAGTTTGGTATCTTTCGCCTACCAACCTTCTCATTTCTATTTATTCCGACATGACCTGATTTCCTGTTAATCATGTTAATTCGAGGGGCGATGTTTTGTATGAGAATGTTGTTAAAATAGTAGTGAAACTGTTTTATTTGTATGATGTCGGTTGATTAAAGAAACACCTCCTGAAATAGAAAAAGATAGAAAGAAAGAGGACAGGAAAGACAGGAAAAAACAAAATATCTCAAGTGTTGTAATGGGTGCATCAGAGCTATACAAACACATATTTTGTAGATTTTGGAGAATTTTACGTCAGTAATCGAATTGAATAATGCCGAGATAATTAAGACGTCAATATTTCATTCTATTTAGCAGTCATTTATAATCATTGGCACTAACTACAAAGAAATATCACAATATGTAGATGGTTCACAAACAGCAGAACATCATGTCAATGTTTTGTGTTGCCACTTTGTGCACGTAAATTAATAACCGCTTGATTTTTGTCTAATCGTAAAACTGACGATTTGTCGACATCTTCGGACGGGAATCCAGGCCTATTTAGCGTTGAGTGTCTGTTGCAAAAAGAACTATTCTCACATTTTGAATTAGTTTGTTTATCAATAAAATAAATATCGTCATATGTTAGTTTCCAATATAACGATCTTTTTGGTTTTATATTATCATCTTACGCCAAGAGTTATTTATCCCTAATGTAGAAAAAATATGGAAAAAAATATGTGAATCTCCAATTTTTAGATGTCTAGTGAGTTATGAATGGCGGTGTAGTTGCTTATTTCTCATAAATGTCAACGTATCGGTATTGATGTGGGGTCCTCCTGCAGAATAAGGAATTTCTGTTGTGGTTTGATGACCAAGGGACACTAAAGAAACCACAATTTAGCTGCTTCCCTAATTGCAACGCCAGTGTAGTCGCCAGTGTAACCTGTCTGCATATGACGTTTGCTATTGGGAGAACTTTAAATGTGAGGAAGTATATTTCTTAACAGCTTGTACGTCTAAATCTTGAATGTTCCAGATACCAAAAGCTACAAGGATTACAAACAAAGAGGTCTGGAGTTTTCAAAAGCCGTAATGGATGTCTATAGAAAATTTCATACCAATCCGGATTACACTGTCAACTCTGAGCGAATACGTGAAGGTTGGTGGATGTGTTTACATTTAAATCAGTCTGCATTTGATTGCGTTTTATATTCCTCGTGTTTTTTTATCAAAATAACTGACTGAGGTACAATTGTATACAAAACGTAGTCTGGTTGCTAAAAATGGTTATCTGTCATAAATAACAAAATAATTAAATCAATAAATAGATCAATACAATAAATTATAGGCTATATTTTAAGATTGTTATGGAAATTTACAGTTAAACATCTCGTTGATAGAATCAGGTGACAGTCAATTGCTGACAATAGTAACTCTCATGATTCGGTGTTTTGTTTTCTTCTGCATATACAGCTGAAATTCTTGTAACTACCACAAGGCTAGAGATTGCTTCCATTCTGTCTCGGACGTTGGACGATGCATCGTTAGAATTGGTGGTGAATAAAGTTGGGAAATGTCTGATGATTATACAGTCATTCTACAGCAACACAAACTGGATTGAGATGATGGTGAATGGTGGAGAGTCTTTCTTAAGTTTCGGTGAGCTAATTATTTATGAGAACAATGGTAATATTCCTTGCAAATGTTCTCCCCTCAACAGCACTCAAAAGTACATCAAGTTTTTGTTATATGTCATTTAAAACAAATAATAATCTATTGTGAATATGTATAACTTGCCTAAAATTGTCAAAATACATATTACTTTAGGAATTCCACGAAAAAGGGAAAGGATGGCATGTATCGTATGATTTAAGATACACACATTCAGTATGCGTTTTAAATTGGCATTTAAACGTGTGTTTATTTTTAGTTTAAGTTTTCAATATTTGCGTTTGATGAAAGTAAAATGATTTGGATTCAAGTCATCGTAGGTACGCTTGAACCATTAAGGATTTAAAAATCCGTGCTGCACAATAATGTACGTAGTAAAAATAAAATAGATATTCTTCATAAAATCTATACTGGGATGATAGAATCGTAAGTGAGATAAACATAATTTTATTTAATATAGCTTAATCTTAAACATACTTGAACACATCTTCCCCCTAGGATTCGTATTTATCTCAATACCATTGTATCATAATTTAGCGCCAACAAACTTAACAAATATATATAAAAAAAAGTATAATTCATTTAAGGGACAACAATGGGTTGAGTGGCCTTCCTTACATTAACCTTAAGTCTCTCCACACCAATAGGCGCATACAGCCTCTATGGTTCTCACCAACCCAATCGATCTTGCGCTGCCATGTTTGCGGTGTTCCAGCTACTCCATCCTATATGGTTGCGTTCGTTATCAACCGTTCCTCGCAACCGTTCCTCTCGTCTGTGGTGTTCATCCAAAAGCCTTTGTACAGTCATTTACTCGTTCTCACTTCAAGGTGTTACCAATCCAGTTCCATCTTCTTCTTCTAATCTCACAGCTGACGTCATTTATGTTGGCTAGCTCTTTCATTTTAGTATGTGGTGTTCGTTACTGCCACATTACTCTCAATATCCTTCTGAGAGACTGGTGTTGGAAGGTGTTAAATTTCTTTTCTTCTGCTTTTGTAAGTTTCCATGTCTCGCTGCCATACACTGATACAGGTCTAGCAAGCGACTTGAACATATGTATCTTTGTCTTTCTACCAATAGTTTGTGCTCCCCAAATATTTCGGAGTCGGTGGAATGCTCCTATTACCTTCTGTAGCCTGTTCCTGATATCGCTACTACCTCCTCAATCTCTTCTCTGTCCTTTACAGTACCAAAATATATAGAGCTGTCACCATCGAATATTATCTCGTGTTGATCGGCCTTATATGACCTTAAATGTGATTTTACTTATTCATCATACATTTAATTTGTGTTACACTCAAGGATGCTTTCTACGATGTGCATCATGCGCGTGGTTTGTGTTATATTTAAGGATTTATGCTACTCTACACATTACAGATGCGTTTAAGAAAACATAAGATTCCCATGTTTTAGTATTGCAACCAGCAGCAGTCGATTTTGGTTTCCTCAGCTCTTTAGTCGCCTTCTCCGATAACAATCCAGTTGGTTTATTCTTTCCTGCTCGAGTCTTGTTGTAGTTACGTACGCTACGTGGTACATGTTAAGTGTTTACGTGTATGTGCTATCTTATACATTCTGCTTTGTGTTAGAGTTAAGGGTTTATGTTTTCTTGCATATTTTAAATGTGATGAGCGTACTCTTTCATAAAAATTGTTAAATAGCATTACCTTATGAACCTCAGGGGAAAAATATTAATAACCCTTTCCTAGTGTATACATCTCTGTCATCCCTTCGGGTATGACAGATTGCACGAAAAAAGAAACAAAGCTTTGACGTTACGCGAACAATACGATTTAACGTCATACTAAGCACTTGACGGGAGAGATCATCAAAATAACAAACATATTACGAATGCTAAAAACTGTAGTTTTTAATCAAATTACTAGGAGGATAGGAGAAAAATAATCATCCCCTACCTACAATGAGGGTGTGACAGAAACAACCAACCCCCAGGGTGATTATTTGATTTTCAAACCATTGGCAGAGACATTGGTTGGATATTTTTGTCACACCCTCAACGTAAGTTTGGTATGGTTTGGTCTAGCATTGTTTAACGTAATATCTACAGCTATGGTCATTAAAGGACGGTCTACCCTGTGTGCAAGATGCATGCATATAGTGTATGCAAGTGTGTTTTGGGAAAATGCGATATATTCGTGTTTGTCTCCTTGTGATAGCGGGGAACTTATGCCGACTTTATAGTGCTACCTCGCTGAAACATACTGCCGAAGACACCAAGCAGGACACCCTAGCCGGCCACATTATACTGACAACGGGCGAACCAGTCGTCCCACTCATAAATTGCTGAGCGTTAAGCGGGAGTAAATAATAGCATTTTTATAGACTCTGGTATGTCTCGGCCAAAAGTGAGGCATTGTCAAGAGAGACATTAGGAAGGAGAAAGTTGTTTAGAAAGACGAGAAAATATAAGTTGCCAAATTAAGACACCTCTTACGATCATGCAATGGGGGCAGTAAGTGCAATCCTTACGCCCTACGTGCAGGACCTCAAGGTAGGTGAAATGTTCACAGAAAAAAATCGATAGAAAATTATTAACTTTTATTCCTCAATAATTGTTTTAAAATCACTTTATGGTTTTTATAGTTATTTTTTTTCAAGCAAGAGGGACATCCGAAACACATTCCTTACACATACATTTTTCAATATTTCTAGTGAATCTGTTCAATTCCTTTTTAAAATTTTGACATTAATATAATGTAAGTTATTATTACTCCTTCATACAATAATGCTGAAAGTGTTTATTTTAATGTGAAACAATATTCTATTTTATCATGAGAAACATACTGTTTCTTTTCTATTATATAAAAAAAAATCCAAACTTCATCAATTTTGAGTATACATTTTGTATCTGTGGAAAGTTTCGTAAGATATGGATTTCACTTCGGTAATGCATATTTATCGACAGTGGGACGGGAGTCCTTAAGTTGCACTGGTTCGAGGTTACCTTGTGATAGAGATAATATGTCATCGACCCACCAGTATAAATGTACTGGTACGTCGAATGAGGTGCTTGCATTTAATTAAATTATTATTGTATATTGTGTGTTGTGGCATTTCTAATCGTTTTCTTTTCATCGAACAACATCAAATCTATACTCTGATGTTTTGTGTCGGACAGGTGTCATACGGTTTAAATATTGCCATACGTTTGAATTAATGTCATACGTTTAAATATTGCCATACGTTTGAATAAATGTTGTAAGTTTAAATATTGCCATACGTTTGAATTAATGGCATACGTTTGAATAAATGTCATTGGTTTGAACTAAGTAACTGTTGAACGGTGAACGGAACATTGTTAGGATTTAATGGTGTTGGGACTAGGCAACATAATCAAGTTAAAAAGGCATTCATCTCACCAATATTCCACACATTCGGGTTAAAAATAAAGGGGAAGGCCTTAATTGGACGACCTACTTAATTACAGGGGTGTATTTGACATATGGTAGTATGTTTCACAAGATGACACTATTTAAGCAATGAATGTTTTATCAAATGTTGTTATGGTCATATAGCACAAATTGCTATTGATGACAAACTTGATAAAGACCGGTAAGCAAATGAAAATATTAACATGAATATATCTTTCTCTTCTTTCTTTGTCAAGGAACTTTCACCTCCACCAGTATGGTGGTTGCCGCATCAGGAACAGACACATGTCGCAACTGTGACGACAGCATCACTCAGTAAGTTTTGTGTAAATGATTTTACTTCTCTTGTGTCTTAATTTCAAAGACCTCACCATACTTTTATAAACTGTATTCATACGTGTCGCAAAATGTACATCGGCTTTCATTACTCCATGATCGACCATACAGCTTTGCTTAAGTCTCTTGTGACGTGGTCCTCCCGGTTTCCTTTTCATGATTGCAGACTCGGTAAATTCTGTCATAGGGATAAACACTATTTTCTGTCTTGCACCCAAGTGACAAACAACTCTTGTGATAGCGGTGCTGATTTTCAACTAGAAGCCCCCAACTCTTTAGCGTTTGAAAAGCCTTTTTACTCGGATTTAAACTTTAAAAGAATAACAGAATAACAAACATCAATCGCCACCAGTATCGATTTCTACCTGACGGTATATCAGTTAAAGTCCTTTTCACAAATGTTATACGGGAAAAAAGAGCTGTTGTTGAAAAACAGTTTGTAAAATCTGCATAAATCAAAATTCCTGGAATGAGAGACAGGCAAATATGTTTTAACAGTGCCACGCCAAAAAACCGGTGCATCATAGGCACAAGAAACATCTATCCTTCCTGAGTATCCGGATCAGTTTTGGTTTATAATGCTCTTCGATGTTTTTGATGTCCTTTTTCTGCCTTCTGTATCTCACAACATGTCGTAAAAAGCGACTCATGACGGCCCCCTGCATACCCGGGGGCTTTCTTCAATGTCTTCTGATGAGGGTAATTTCAGCATTTAGAATTATCTCGCAACAATTAGTTTCCCCGTTGTCAATATAAAGTAACCGGATTGAAGTCTTTGCAAAGGTGCATTTGGTCTTTGGCATGGTGTTTAGGTGAGGTAGCACTTTAAAATCCGTATCAGAGCCGTGCTATAGCAAGAGTAAATCAACAGCCTACTACATCGAAAATAAGCACACATGCAATACACACACACAGAGGGACGTCTCAAATGACATTACCTGTTAATAGGACGTTAAACTAAATACAAACCGAACCGAACCAATCACAAGTCTAGAAATTTGGAATTACTGTATTATGGGAAGCGTTATCCAAATAATAATTGTTCGAAATTTACGACAACAAGTAAAGTTATGAGATGTAATTATTTTCCTTTCATTCAATACTGACCTTTAAGATAGTATTGTTATTGTAATTACAACACACGTTGATAACCTAACTCCTTAATTAAAACATAGTTCAATATAACTATATAAAACACTATGTAGAGCATAAATCTAAACTATGTTTCACGATTTAGAATCGAAACAATTGACATTTATGACGCGGTAGAAAAACACTAAAACTTGACAACTGAGATAATTTAAAGTTAAATCAGACTTTCTATTTCACTATCTTTGAAGTCGCTGTAGCCAAAACCTGTTGGTCCATGATCGTTTGACAAGTGGATACCTGTCTGGTCAGCAGTTCTACCCGAAACCATCAGGTGAGTTCGAGTATTGTGCATTTATTTATTACCGATAAACGCAAAACAAACATCTTTCATGTGTTATTAATATATATCATGTAAAACAATATTGTAACCAAGCTTAACGATCACTTAACACAGGAGAGGTCATTAGTGCCAATAAATTATCGCGAATGACAAACGTAAAATGAAGGTGATACAAAAAAAGCGTTAAGATAAAAAACAAACCTTGATTTGAATACTTAAAGAACTGCGGGCGTTAAGAGTCATTTCTGCCCTCATCGGAGATTTTGAATTAGTTGTTATATTCGTAGTCTTAAATAAATGAAGTATGCAAATGTGAAATATCAAATTCAATCGACAAGTGGTTTCGGAGATTTGGCATTGCAAAGAGTGACATAAACCCGCATTTTCATATTGAAATGCGTGAATATCGTCTGTTGTGCAGTATTTGGTTGAAACTTGGCCTTTTTGAAGGAAACTAACGAAACACTTTTATCTTTAAAAGCCTCCACACGCAACAAACAAATGAATATTTGACATCTTTAAACATTTTCATATCAGTGTTCATTCGTAGAAAGGAATCTTTTTTTGTCACATACGGAGGCGGGTGGTGCAATGGATAGTTTCACCAAGGCGGCCGGGTTTCGATTCCCCGATCGGACGTGAGAAGGTTGGGGTCACCTGCCCGACCGCGTGGGCTTTCTCCGGGTACTTCGGTTTTCTCCCACACTAAGACCACCACGCGCTAACATACGGGCCAACAAGAGAGATTAATATAAGTTGAAATAACTTGTTTCATAATTGCTGTAAAATAAATAAAGTTTATATATATATATATATATACGGAGGCTTTTATTTCTGCTATTTTTTCGAAAAGAAATTTGGGACATGGAATCTTATTTTAGAAATGTTCTTGAGTTGAATGAAGATAAACGCAGTCTAATAACAGGTGTTTAACTGTAAATTGTTCTCGACGCATTGAGGCTGGTCTTGCCGTTTCAGTAAAAAAACAATGGGTAATGCATGAATGTCTCATCTGTAGATAAAATGCAGTTCACTGATTTCAGGTTAAATAGCCATTTCTTGTCACAAACATTAATATGACAAATCACCAAGGCACTGTTTCTTAAAAAATGAAATGTTAACAACTGGCTTTAGATTTATATTGCACTATAGAGTTATTATCGCCTTTGTTTTTTTATATTAAACGTGCAGCTCATCAAGGCGCTACGGAGGGCAAATGCAGTCACGGGGGAGTGAACGACCACGGAAGGAACACTACGGCAACTGGTGGGATCAACAAGGAAACACTTGATTGGAATTGGTCCCCACATGCGCATCTGCATAACATATCCGGTCAGACAGCGGTCAGAGCGACGGAAGCATTCTTCATGGACGCAAGTATGTGATGTTTGCTAATTCTTTTTCTAAAGCAAAGACATGCTTTCTCTATCAATGGCTGTCTCTATCTCTGTCTCTCTCCTTCTGCTTATTTAATATAATTATTCTATTTGTTTCATTTCTTTTGTTGTTTTCTTGAGATAAAAAAAATCAAACTAATCAGATACGATTTTTTGATTATGTGCGAGAAACCGCGCATGTCGTTAGCTGTTTTTCAGTTGATGTTCCAGCTAATGGCATGCCCTCGGTGATCACAAGGAGTAGTTTGCATTGTTGGGAAAACATCAATCCCAAACACAATTTGATATAATAAACAGAAACATAAACAATAACTTGTGTCGCCGACAAAGTAATCGTGGTTTACTATCGCGCGCTATTCAGTTTTTTCTGAATGTATTGCTTAAGTAATCATATTCTTGAGTTGTCGCTGATATCTGGTTTTACAGGTCAAATGCGATGCCATTTATACATTTTTGTTTGTTTTCAAAGCATCGGGTTTACTCGGAGGTATTGACCAGGCAAAGGTGAAGAATATATTTAATCTGAAGAAGAAACAAACAGTTTCAATGGGATTTGTTGTCGATGTCACCGGATCAATGGCTAACGATATCAGGTCCGTGAAAAATTCTATGATCGGCAAGGTGTCCGCAGTTATCGGGACTGACAACGAACCAACCAAATATGTTTTGTCAACTTTCAACGACCCTGGTAGGTTTATTTTTAACCAACAATCGCCATGTGGTGGGCTGTTCAAATCGCCGTTTATCCGTGGTCTGTCCGTCTTTAAATCATTCTTGTTGGCGCTATTGCTAAAATAAACAGTCAACAAAGCCAACGGAAACACTAATTGTAGGTTTCCCATGGTCCGTAGTTGTGCATTTTTTTGAGATAGATAGGGAAACTGAGGTGGCCGATAGGCGGCCATTTTTAATCATAAGATCACCGTTTGCAGAGAAAAAAATTAAAGTTACTCACAGTATCCAAGTAAAAAAACATATGACCATATATGTTCTATTCAAACAATGTACGTATTAAACGTGTCGCAAGGATTCAAGACCGACTGGTCCATTTGTCAAGCAATGGCAAGATATGCTAGCTTGACAAAGGAACCAGTCGGTCTTTAAACATTGCGACAAGCTTAGATAGTTTGACAAAGGGACCAGACGGACTTGAAACATTGCGACACGTTTAATACGTACATTGTTCTATCAACAGATAGCGTCATTTAAGAACGTCCCTCAACGTGTGTTGTGTATGTGTACTTCCGTGTGCAGGAGACGGTGTATGTTGGTACATTTGCCTCCTTGTGATTGCGCAGATCTGATGCCGAAGTTAAAGTGCTGCCTCACTGAAATATCATGCCGAGAGCACCACGCACAGCATTTCACTCAGTCACATTATGCTGACAACGGGTGAATCATTTGTTGCCTTTCCCCAAAATTTTGTACGTTTAGCAGGGAATAACAATTACCATTTTTAAGGACTTTTGGTATGTCCCGCCCTGGGAATAGAACCTATTGCCTTCCTCACATTGGCGAACGTTCACCATTAAAGTCAAAAGTGAGGTATTGTTAAGGAAGGCGCTAGCAAACGGAAGGAAATTAGAAGAGGAAAGAAACTTAAGATTCCAAATATTACAATGGGAGAAAGTAAAGAAAGAAGATATGGAAGGTAGGGAATGAAAAAGATATGGAAGGTAGGGAATGAAAAAGATCGCAAGTGCTTCAATTAGGAAAGCTTATCAATTTTGATCTCTTCTATGTGACCTCCATAGAAGACACAGTAGGAGGCACATTAGTTTTGTGGTAGGACGCCGGGTTCGTGACCGAAGGGTCACGGTACGGCACTGTGTTGTATCTTTGAAGAAGATACTTTAATCCGCTTGTTCCAGTATACTCAAATGTAAATGAATACGTGGTTGGAAGGGCTAGAATTGTAGAATGCTAGCTGTGAGCGTCGAAATGGCAGCACCGGCTGTATGCTCCTCAGAGAGTTGAGAAAGATATTGACTGGTTGCAAAGGCCTTATAACCACGGAAAAAGAATTGGTGAACCGCTTAAAACGACCTACAAACTAGATTGTGATAAAGCGGTATAGAAGAGCCTCGAATTATTATTATTATAATTATAGAAAAAAAAACTGAATCTGCGGAGGCCCACATAAGTCGTTTTTTACGATACACATGCAGTGGGATGTATACAAGGGCCATCGCAAATAAAACCAATATCACGGTTACACTGCGTTCAGTTACAATGGCACATGTATCTTTCAGGAAGCCTGACCACAGTTGCCGCAACAGCGGATGGAAATGAGATGATACGATGGATAGAGAAATTGACTGTGGGTGGAGGAGATGACTGTCCAGAATATGCAATCTCCGGACTACTGGCTGGTATGTTTAAACACATCAAAACGCTTATTCTGATATTTCATGATTTCAAATTACTTAGATTCTACGACATTAATTGACAATTTTGCAGAAATCAATTGTTCCTCAACGTTCAGTGTAACACTTTGTTTTAATACGATGCATACCCAAAACAGATTATTATCAAGTGGTAACTTATATCAACGTCTGGTGCACAATGTTCGTTTTTAAAAAAAAATGTCAATTATGATTTGCAAATATTATTATACCCCACGCAACGTAGTAGATGGGGGTGGGGGTGTTAATTGAATCACCCCTGTCCGGAAAACTCCATCTTCATTGACTTGCAGATTTTATTGAAACTTCACTTGAATCATCAGTATATAACGTAATTGTGCACCGGCATTTAAGGGAGTTACGGCCCTTTATGCGAAATAACTTGTTCGGAAAACTCTTTCTCAACTAATAGGCAGATTTTATTAAAACTTTGCATGAATTATCAGTATATTATGTTGCTGGGCACCGGCATTTATATAACAGATTTCAACATTTGTTAAGGGAGTTTCGGCTCTTTATGAGAAAGTACTTGTCCGGAAAACATTGTCTCAACTAACAGGCATATTTTATTGAATCTTCGTTTGAGGTGTAAGTGTTTTATGTAGTTGCGCATCGGCATTTCAGTTTTTGATTTCAACACTTCGTTATAGAGTAATGCCCCTTTGTCCTGAAAACTTGTCCGCACACCTCCTTCAGCATCTGCGGGGATATTAATTATCATCTGGATGACAGTTCTAGTTTTCCTCCTTTTCAATGGCTAACAAATATTCACTTAGGTATATCCGTGTGATTCTATTTTAATTCATATAAGTTATTGCTTTCATTCAAAAGACATTGTTATACAATATTTTCTCTGTTTTATTTTTTTATTTTTTCCCCCAGCTATTGATGCGTGTGCTCCATATTCAGTTATCTTCCTTGCCACCGATGCAGATCCTAAGGATGAAAATATGACCAACATCGCAATACGAGAGGCGAATGCAAAACATATCACACTGGAATTTATTTTGACAGGAAATTGTAGTTTAAGTCGACGTCGCAGAGGTAAAATTAAACAAAAACGAAAAGAGAATACCAAGAAGCCAACAAAACCATAATTCGAACTCAAAATCAATCAAACAAGGGCGAAATATGATCAAAGGGAAGATTTACATGGATACCCCTGAAAAAGTAAAGGGACATACGATTAGGTGTTCCGGAAGGGTAAGCGTCATCTGCTTCAACGATGACACCCACCATGTAAATCTAAGTCGACTCCAAATAATATCGCATCCTAACATCGAAGCGCGGATAGTACCAACAAATCTGCATGGTACTCGCATGACTAAAATATTTGCTCTATTACATTACATAATCAATCGAAAGAGAAAACAAACACTGAACCCCCTCTTTTTTTTCTCATCTCCGGTACATGAGAATTGAACATCAATTAAATTACAGCACTTGGTTTATCTTTCTTTTTCATATATTATTAGTGTTTCCCTTTGTCATGTTTATCCCATTGTCAGAATAGCACAGAAATATATTTTTTGGCAGATTATGACGATCTTTGTCAGTGCGACGGCCAGTGACACATTGGCAACAGATAGTCTTGATTTTACCTGAGCTATGACGACGATTTTTCTTAACCCGGATCCTGTCTATTATCAAATTCCTCCTATTTGTAACATACCACCCTTACAACTCCATCCTAAAATATGACATATACGAGGAAGAGTTAATTCGTTTCTTTGATTTCCTTCTGTACTGTCGTAGTAATTATCGTCTGTATTGCTGAATTGACCTCGGTCTTTGGACGACATGTAACTAGTTATGAACTAAATAAAGAACTCACGAATTAAACCATAATAAGATTTAATCCCAATTATTTGACAATTTATTTCAAAATTTTAATTTTCGTTTCAGAAATAAAACTACGACAAAAGAGAGGTCTCTCAGCCTTTGAAAATATTGCTGCAGGCACCGGAGGGAGTGTGTATCACATCGACCATAGTGAAGTCACCGCAGACACTGGTGATTTGCACTCTTTGATTTACAAAAAGGAAAACCGGCGTTACAAAAGCTCGGAAAATAAGTTTCTAATTATTACTTGTTTTCCAAACAAACTTACCATTTATAAATTTGTTCATATTATTGTGGAGACGGGCTTGGACAACCACGTCTCTAGCTAAAAGTTTGTGTTAGCATTACTGTTATTGTCTTTCAGTGATGTTCTTATGTTTTTACCGGAAGCATATAAGAAAGTCATCCATTTATAGGTTATTGTCTACTATAAAGACAGGTTTTGACAATGTTATTTATTTCGGACCGAAAAGTGTTTGTTTGTTTGTTTGTTTGATTTTGTTTAACGTCCTATTAACAGCTAAGGTCATTTAAGGACGGCCTCCCCTGTGTGCAAGATGCATGCGTGTAGTGGATGTGTGTGTATTTTGGGAGGCTGCGATTGAATATTTTCCTTTGGTACGACCGGACAAATGAATACGTATTTATAGGTCTTATTCAAGGTCATTGATTCACAATATATTTTTGTTTTGTATTTAAAGCATCGGGTTCGCTTAGAGATATTGATCAAGCAACTGAGAAGAACATATTCAAATTGAAGAAAACTGTAAGGCGACAAGTATCTTCCGGATATGTCATCGACGTTTCAGCATATATGGCTAATGATATCAGGAGTATGAAGAATGCGTTCATCGCCAAAGTGTCTGCAGTTATAGGGACTGTCAACGAACCAACCAACTATGTATTGTCGACTTTCAGCGATCCTGGTGGGTTTTCCTTTTCATTACAAGATAATACGAAATCAACATATAAACGTTAACATGTACACAGTATCAGTCTCGGTTTGAAACATGCGTCACCAACGTTTTTCACTGGTTCGCAAATACACTAGAACACGTTTTGATGTGATTAATTGTTAAAAAAAAAAAAAAAAAAAATAATCTTACAATGCATATAGCATACCGCGGTAATAAGGCTGTAGTCATTTGTTATGGAACCAATTTGAATCGGAGCCATAAACTGTAAGGTGTTAAACTGTAAAACGGTTGTGTTTAAGGCGCTCACAACAAAACTGAATTAGAAGCCAAGAGGGCCAATATTACTCATATTAAGTTACATTTGTATGTGTATAATTATGTTTATAGTACAATTGTTATCGCATCATCCCAAAACACACACGTATACACTACACGCATTCATCTTGCACACAGGGAAGGCCGTCCCTAAATGACCATAGCTGTTGGTAGGACGTTAAACAATACAAAAACAAACCAAACTTACAGTGTTATGATCTAGAGTATTGTGATGTATGTCAAGAGACTAAATTCCGAGGAAAAGAACAACACCCCAGGGGTAATCGTGATAGCAAATTAGTATTGGTTTCTTCATGCCATGGAAGCATTTATATGGTTACATAATAGGAATATAAACTATTTTTAGTTATGATGCAAGGACTATGAAAAGCTATGCGTTATTCGTCGTCTATAAATCACGACTCGGGGCTTTATGGATTAAAGGATTAGGTTCGTAAAAATCTGTTTACCATTAAGGCCCCTGCTAACTTAGGATCCTAAGTTGAAGTCAAAATTGACTTTTTACTGTTTATTTGAGAAAATGAACCACAGTGCTGATCTTTATAACATATCAAAGTTTCATTTTGTAGTAATCTATCCATGGTATCTCATTGTCAAGTATCAGGACACTTGACCTTTCAGTATTGAAGAAATTGAAGAAGAATAAAGTTGACCTCATGACAGGTAGTGTAAGCTTGAGATGAAGTTTTCCACAACATCTTTCAGCAAACCTCACCAAAGTTGTCACTACAACAGATGGAAATGAGATGGTACGGATGGTATCTCAACTGACTCCGGAAGGGGGAGGAGACTGTCCAGACTATGTCATGTCCGGAATACAGGCTGGTCTGTTAACACTAAAATTATTAATGTTTAATTTGTGTATTGTCTATCAACAGAAATAGATAATTATTAAATATTTCTATAAATTATAGCATCATTTAAGATCAGCAAGGCAATGCCTTGTAAGGCAATGCGAATTCCCCAAACGGTAACGATTTCTTCATATAAATTAAATGGTGCCGTTCAGCTCCAATAATAATAATGAATTCATCTTCTTATAATAATAATTATTCATCAAAAATAGTCAGTAAATCTGCCTTATATGTAGCTGAGCTATATGTTACGTACAAAATGTAGTTAATTGAGGGATTGGTCAAGCGGAACACCGCCCACTCACTGATCAATATTGCAGGTACAGGTAACAGCGGTGTATAAATGGTGCAAACATTTAGACTTAAGAACAAATGCTAACCCCAAAACGTTCACACCGCGGTTAGTTTGAGGAGCCACAGCGCGAATATTTCAGCATTTATTTCATGTTAAAATCAATTTGCATCTTGGAAATTCAGCTAGTTTGCGTTTATTTTGTCTCGATTTCTTATTACATTTTTAGATATAATTTATGATTGAACGTGACATAAAATAATCAAATAATCATATTTGTATATCTCAGTTTTTTCAACGAAACGTTGCCCCCTGCAATCTGGAGAAAATGTAGGCATGCTGACTCCCAAGCATGTAATTGTAAGAGGCTTCAAAATGCATAATCAGATGTTTTCTTGTGTATCCACTGGAGAGAATAATATGGTTAGCTGCCCCCATCGGAACGCTGTGGATACGTGTTTTCTTTTGACGTTTCTCTCTTTTGTTTGTGACCATTCTTAAAGCATGCGAGGACGATGAACTCCAAATAATTTAATTAATTGTAAGAGGACGAGTACTATAGGGAAATGAGAAAGTAAACAATAGATTCTACGGAAATGTTGCAATTTGGGTAGCATATCTTTTTTGGTTATCTCAGTGAAACAGACAAAAAACTCCCTCCCAAATCTGCAGGGTAACGCATTTCGGTTGCCTCTTACGACAAGCAGATGTTAAGCAGATCTATATACCAAAAAACGGGTAGTGGTATGTTGTTTTGATTTAAATTTATTTATTATTTATTTATTATATTGCTGCTTAATATTTTCCAGCTATTAAGGCATGTTATCCATACTCAGTTATTTACGTTGCCACGGATGGCGATGCCAAAGATGAAAATATGACCGATATTGTACTACGCGAGGCGATTGCAAAACACATCCAAGTGGAATTCATTCTGACAGCAACTTGTAGTAGTCTGAGTCAACGTCGAAGAGGTAAATATAATGACCTATTACATCACATTTAAATGTTACTCGTAAAAGGCTACCAATATACGAACTCCCTGTTTAATATAAATTCTTTGACATTAATTCAGATTAAAGCTGACATCTTCTTCATTAGCTGCAAGTTATATATTTTTGTTACCTATTCATACTCATTGTTTTCCCGTTGTCAGAATAATGTGACCGGGTGGAGGGATTTTGTGCCAGTTTTTGACAAACTGTATTAGCGAGACGACCTTTGAATATGTTATCGTCTAGATCTCGTTTTGAGTTGAGTTATTGCGGCGATTTTGTTTTGCAAGTCTCCTAAAACGTAAACACTAACTCCCTAACCCTTAACCAAAGATGAATTTTAAGAGTCATAGTTCTTCATTTCCTAGTAAATAGATATCTTGATTGCTGAATTGACTTCAAACTGATAGTCGTCTATTGACTTATATCAAGGTAGATACAGAATATGGATTTGATGAATAAGATGTCATATTTCTTCTCTTTTTCCTGCTTTAATATCAGAAATACAGATGCGACATAAAAGAGGTATTTTAGCCTTCGAAAGTCTTGCTGCAGGCACCGGTGGGAGTGTGTATCGCATAGACCATAGTGAGGTTACCGCAGTTCTTGATCACGTCCTGGAAGTAAGTTTTTTCGAAGATATGTTCGAATAATAAATTACATTGTTTTGATATTTGTGGTTTGAAGTTTTACGTGCTCGCAACAGCTAAGGTCAAGGGAAAATTCGCCTTAATGACTGAGCTGTAGGCAAGAAAGTTAAAGACGGATATCAAGTATTCAGATTTGGGCAGCATATTTTGTTTTCTTCGATGTCCCCTAATCAGAAGTGGTAAAAGGAACAAAATCATCATTGGTGTCTCTCTGCGCACTCGTCTTCATATGACCCTAGCTTTTGTAAGAACGTGAAACTAACATTTAATAATCATGTTTTTTGACACTACTATGTATGCTTTGTTTTGTCTATGAGTGTATTATTTACTACTTTCTCAATGCCAATGCTTATCACTTTCAATGTGGTTTGTTTCAACCTTATGAGTCGAAGGACCTAAAAGTATTGCTTTGTTTTCATATTCCCATACATATACCTTCCTGCATTTAATTTGTTTACGAAACATCACAGTTTAAACAAGAAGTAAAACGTTATCCGAAAGAATACTTGTATACGTTATTGTGGTTATCAGTCGACCAAAGGATATTTATATAAGCGTTAAATTGTATTGCGTTTAAATATTGTTATGCTACCTGGTACGGGATCGGCTCTGTGTGTGAGAGAAGGGGTGATGAATGTCGAACCTATACGGTTGATATGACATTAGTAATACAGATATTGTTGACTTCGGTGTTGCATTAAATCAAATATACGTTGTTGTCGTCTTCAAATTTACTATTTGTTACAAGTTTGTTTGGAAAATAATATAATGTTATGGTATTGTTAATTGGGTTTAGCATATTAGAAGCTAAGATCCTTTAAGGAATAATATAATGTTATGGTATTGTTAATTGGGTTTAGCATATTAGAAGCTAAGATCCTTTAAGGAATAATATAATGTTATGGTATTGTTAATTGGGTTTAGCATATTAGAAGCTAAGATCCTTTAAGGAATAATATAATGTTATGGTATTGTTAATTGGGTTTAGCATATTAGAAGCTAAGATCCTTTAAGGAATAATATAATGTTATGGTATTGTTAATTGGGTTTAGCATATTAGAAGCTAAGATCCTTTAAGGA